GTAGATTTATAATTTAACCAGAAATAAAATTACCAGAGCAATGCCATTGTATTAATTTTTCTTGTAATGAAGTTGCATTATACTATTTACTTCTGAACGTCCTAAGGGCTATGACAATATTATTTTGAAGAAAGTGAAGTACTCTCCTCTCTGACCCTGCCTGCCTTCCTCCCCTCTCCGTACAATAATAACTACCTAACTAAATGAACCAAAGTCAAAACAAAACTACTCTCTAATTCTCCAGGCAATACTTCCTATACTTTTCCCACCAAAGTATCCCTAATGGAAGAGAAGATTGAACAAGTGCCCCTAAGGATCTGCTGCAAGTGTGAAATTGCTTTGAAGTCATCTGTTTTATTTTAAAAACTCATGTGGATTTTGCATTCTATTCTATAATATATATCTGTTTTAATCTAAAAATTAGGTGTTTTCCCCCAATATCTTTGAGTTTCAGAACTCTAGGAAAATATGCTAAGTTTACAGCATGGCTTTGCACCTTCCAAGAAACACTCTTAAATTTATGAAGAAGAAAGGTAATTATAATTTTTTTCCCATGGATCTTACATACTTCTTTCCTTTTGCTTACCGTTTACTTCAAGGTGGTATTTTGTTTGTTTTGTTTTTGTTTGACTGAAAGAAAATTAACTTATTTTCTACACTAGATAGAATAGATCCTTTTTTCATTCAAAGAAGTACTTTAATTCTACTAATCTTAAAAAAAAGCAATGTTAGACATAACAATACTGTTCTTCAAATAATTAATTAAATTAGCTTTTTCTTATCTATTTCAGTTCAGTTTTTTGTAAGAGACATTTTTGTGGTTGTTTTTGACAAAATGGGGATTCCATTTCACAAGTAGTCCATTATCAAATAAAATGAATTATATAATGTTAATCTAATTTTATTTTCACAGGTAGAGTATGAATATTATACATACAGTATATTATGCACAGTACTGAGGGTGGGATCCTGGACTCATATGGGGCTAAAAGGTATATTAAGGAAGAAAGACAAGTTCAACTCAAATAACAAGGAAAAACATTAACTATAAATAAGAGGTAAGTGGTTTGACCTTTCACTATATTTTGTTTCTTCCTGCAGACTAAATTCAAAAATACTTTCTCCTAAGGCTTTGGGGAAAAAAAAACATTAAAAAGAAAAGAAAAAAATATGGATTCTGAACAATGACTTGACAAATGATAGTCAGTTTCCTTAGAGGACAAGGCAGGTGAGATTTCCAGGCAGAGGATGCAGCATAAAATTGTACACAGAGACAGGATATTATAAAGGTATAAAAACAGCTCAAGAGAATATATGTCTCAGTACAATGAAATGAAAAGTAGGAAGAAATGAAAGAGGGATGCAAGCAGGCAGAATGTGCTTAAGAACTTTTCGAGTTGTGAACTCTGAGTTTGAATTTCATAGGAAAAAGAAATAACTAGACAAAAAAAAAAAAACTTGAGAATGGGGATTGCTACATACCAAACAGTGGGATAGAAAAAGGATTTTTGGCAACAGTCTTTTGAATACACTGTCAGGAAGAATGCACAAAAGCAGAAATAAACAAAGCACAATGGACATATTTCGCTCTTGAAATAGGGAGAAAGAACTTGGTGATATTATAAAAGAAAAATAAAAAAGGATTTAACAAAAACACAGGAAGAGGGAAAAAACAAATAAAACTGAATATATTCTTGTCTAAGATTGGAAGAAATTTATGACTGCCTTAAGATTATTCCCTTCTAATAAGACAATAAAAATAACCATCATATTCTTAGTAGTATAACAACTGCTTCTGTAATACTAAACATAGAAGTATAGAGACAGTTGTGTACTATTTGTATGTGTAAACTCATATAATCTTATTGTTACTTTCATTCCCTTTTTACAGATGAGGAAACGAAAATTTGGAAGCTCAAGTTTATAGAAGTAGTAAGTAGCAGGGCTAGGATTAGAAATTTGTAATATATAACTAAAAAGACTGTGCTCTAGAGTCTACCTTTATCATTAGCAATAACAGGTCAAAGTACATGATATTTTTTCATATCTCTATAGCTCTTCAAAACACCCACACATAAATGCTATATTTATAAATATAATCCTAAATGAGTCATTAGGCAACTTAATCACTGGTAAAATACCAAGGGTACTTACACAAACTTACATGGCTATAGTATCACCAGTAGATATTATCTTATGGGACTACCATGTATGTGGTCTAGTCCATGGTTGACCAAAACATGTGGTTCATGACTGTATGGTTATATAATTATTACAATACCTATAGAATATAAATAGATACAAGCACACACTGCTGTATTTTGAATGTGTTCTCCAAAAAACATGTAGGTGGGGCCTAATGGGAGAAGTTGAGGTCCACCATCATGAATGCATTAATGTTGATTGTAAAGGGGCATGAGGCCATAAGTTCAAGCTCTTGTTCTCTCTCAGGATGTAATGAGTTCTACCACATTATGATACAGTAAGATGGAGCTCACTATATTACATGCAGCCCCTTGATCTTGAACTTCCCAGCCTAGAGAACTACAAGAAACAATCCTACTCTTTATAAATTACCGGTTTGCAGAGTTCCGTCATGGCAACATGAAACAGACACACACACAGACACACACACAGACACACACACACACACATAATTATTAGGGGTTTAGATGCTGACACAAGCTTTATTATCTATTTCACTTCAGTCATTGCAGATTTTTTGACTAAAAACATATTTATAAAAGATATATTCATATAAAATATTTTTCATATAAGAATTAAAAATTATCATCACAAAACTGATGATAAAACTTTTATCTGAATATATTATTGATATAATTCCTTCTAAAATTGTTTTTTTTTTTTTTACTTTTATTTTTTGTGCTAGAGATTGAACCCAGAGGCACATAACCACTAAACCACATCCCCCATAGCTTTTTATCTTGATACAGGATCTCACTAAGCTGATTATGTGCTTGCTAAATTGCTGAGGCTGGCATTAAAGTCATGATCCTCCTGACTATGCCTCATGAGCCATTGGGATTAGAGGTGTGAACCACCACAACTGGCCCAAAATCTTTTCAAAACTGTTTCAATGTATTAAACAGAATTTAGGAAACATAATGTGATAAAGAGCAATCAAAAAGCAATAGTGGCACCAAAATGATCTAAATTCAAAACTGGTCCTATTTGAGGCATTTTATAGTATTTAAATTACAATACAATATTAAAGCATTGTGATTATTCCACATTAGTTACATACTCAAAAGCCTTTAGTCACAGGCTTTTTTTTTTTTTTAATACCAAGGTTAAACCTAGGGGCGCTCAACCACTGAGCCACATCACCAGCTTTTTATTTTTTTATAATTCGAGACATCTCTAGCCCTTATAAAAATATGTATATGAGAGAGAGAGAGAGAGAGAGAGAGAGAGAGAGAGAGAGAGTGTGTATGTGTCTTACTAAGTTGCTGAGGGCCTCGCAAAATTGGTGAGGGTGGCTTTGAACTTGGGATCCTCCTGCCTCAGCCCCCCAAGCAGCTGGGATTATAGGTTTATCAATCATACCCAACTACAAAGGCATATTTTTAAATACAAGTTTCAAGATACAGAAGTTCTTTAGAAAGCAATTGCCAGAAAGCTAGTATTATGATAGTAGAAAGTATAATTTTCAATCATATAGAGAGTTTTCTTAAAATAAAGAATACACATAGCACCATGGACTTGTACCTTGTATTCTACTGTCATTCTGCTCTGTGAAACAAAAACCAAAATACACTGGGGATATGTTCATGGTCTATTTGATCGATAAAACCAAAACAGCAAAGATTACCACAACCCATACTAAACAAACAAAATTCTAGGTTTCATGGAATCACTTTTTTTTTTCCTTCAAAGGACACAAACAGGTTTATATGGTCTGAAATAAATTTGGCAAACATACACTTTTGAGCTCTGAAAGTCCTCAGAGTTATAAAATGGATAATTCCATTCTATAATACAATGCAATACAATTTCAAATATAAGATTTGAATATAAGATTATATATTTCAAATATAAGATTTATTTAAAAGGCAAAATATATAATTTCATCCTCAGAAAATGTTTCCTTGATCTAACCTCCTATTACTTTTTAATCTCTTACAGGAGTAAATAATACAAACAGACAAGGCTAATTACTTCAAATTAAAATCTTAGAAGCATTATTACTTTCCCCATTGTGTTCTTCACTGGTGCCAAGAACTGCCCTTTCTTTCCTGCTAACTGATGCCTTGCTGCCTGCAACATCAGGCAGAGACTCATTAGGCTGTCAATGAAGTTTCTGAGATGCTTACTTTACTGCTCCAGCCTTACTGTCAACTATTTTTCTCACTTGATCTAAAACATTCTACTACTGTGCCTTGCTCAGCTTATTTTCTCTTTAAAAATACAGCCCCTTTCCATGCCTTTAAAACTCTATCCCTCATATTTTAACTCCTGGCCTCTTCCATAAAAACTTCTCTAATCAAAACATTCAAAAGTACTCTCTTCCGCATTTCAACTACAAGATATTATTTTTCATGTACCCTTCTCACATTCATCCTTGTTCTATCGGTTATTCATGTGGATGTGTGTATATACATAATTATTTTTCCTCAACTTTAAGATTTTAAACACATTCAAAGAACAATGGTTCTATGATCATTTTCAAATCACTAAAAGATACCATACTACATATAACATAAAATGCCCTTAATTGCTTATCAAATTAAAGAATGAACATATTGTCTGACCATACATATGAATACTTTAATAACTTAGTACCGTTACAAAAAAAAAAAAGACAAAAACAGGCCATTAAAATGTACAACACTATCAAATACATACTAACGAAAACTATCTCTTGCATTTCTTATATCAGTGAACAAAAACATTTTTATGATTAATGTTTATAAATTCTTTAATATTATCATTTAATATGTAGACCAGGAATAGTTTCAAAGCAGTTCTAAATCAATTACCTTTGCTTGCACTTTCTACATGCTCCAATTCTTCAGGAAATTTCAGGATGTCTCGGTATTTTTCCTCACAAATTTCAGCAATAAAATGCAAAAGGGTTGTTTTTTGATCTGCTGATTTAGTATCTCTAATCTGGAAGGAAACAACAAGAAACATTTGAGTAATTTTTTAGTAATTTAAATGGACTTTTTAAAGTGGAACAAATGAATGAGTGAATTCAATTCGTTATAACTCCCTTAAATTTTTTTAAAAACTCAGGGGCAGATTGTTAATGGGGTCTAGTGGCAAAGATGTGGAATTTAAAACAAGCATCACATTATAAAAGCAAGAAATATGACCAACAAATGTGCCAAATTAAACCTTAATATATATTTTTTTTAAATGTCTGCATCATTATGGCAAATGAACTATTCTTTTCATGAGAGAAAAGCATTCATTTAAATATTTATAGTAATAGTCTAAGTTAATGTGTGTTTATGTTAGCAGCATTCTGTTCTTTGCTTATTACAAAAATATATTCTTGAAAGCTGGATTCATTTGTGAAATTGTATTTATTTCTATCCATCATTGATGTAAATTAATGTAAGAGTAAGTACATTTTACCCTCCTTTACTTGCATGGGCCATCAGACAATAATTCTCGAGGCTGCTCTTTTCAGAATTATAAAAGGAATCTGACCACACAATTGTGATAACATGAAATATTTTCTGTATCTGCTTACATATTACATTGATTTTTCAGAGACACCAGGTTAAACATGTCAAAGTTATAAAAATAAAAAAATCTTTAAAGTATAGATATATATGTATGCATATATATATATATATATATATATATATATATATATATATATATATATTTGAGATTCTAGTGCCTTCTTGAATATAACTTAGAGTAGACTAAGCTACAAATGAAATCAAGGATTTACTTAGATACAAAGCATAAATACAGCATAAAGTATCAAATTTTTTTCATTCTATTGGATGTTTTAATTCTATAATCCTTAGATGATGGGTTAAAGATTACTCTGTTTAAGATAAATGAATATTCTTCACAAACAGGTTTATGAAAAGACTGCAGAGGATATTTAGTTAATTATAGAGTAAATTAATCCTCATTGTTTTAGTGACTAAGAAAAAAAAAATAGCGCTTAATAAATCAGGCCCATACTGAATCTATTTTGTACTACAGCTTTTAATCTCAAGGCTGCAAAAATACAAATGACCAGGGGATTCATAATATTGATAGTTCTAATGGTCTTAAATATTTCTTTTAGAATTTCTAGGATTGCCTTATCCCATGTAGGTAAAATGTTTGAAATTTGGCATTAGCACACAGATCCTCTAAGTACTTTTAAATGCTTAAAGATAGAACAACACACCTCAAGGACAAGGTATAAGAAGAAAAAACAATACAAACCTCAAGGGCAATTTGTATTTAAGTAAAGCCAGCTGCTATTGAGTACTCAATGGGGGGGCTCTCATTCCTGACAAAGGGTCTTTATCTGAGATTAGGGTGCTATCTGTGTATAAAGTACATCATTTTCAGAATATACTGGACATTTCAAATAATAAGAAAATTAACAGTTTCTTTTTTTCTTAAAAAATTAGCTAGCCTCATAAATCCTAAAATCCTAAAAACAACAGGAGCTTAGAGAAACTCAGGTACATCTTCCTAAAGGCAGGAAAGTGATCTGTGTTTTATTTGGTTGAGAATCAAACAAAAATAACTAACAAAGAACAAAATACTAAACAATACTATAAACCCACCATGTTTTTTAATGACACTAAATATACACCACATTCTGGTTGGGATGGGGTTGTGGCTCAGTGTTAGAGTGCTTGCCTAGCATGCATGAGGCACTGGGTGCCATCCCCAGCACCACCTTAAAAAACAAAACAAAATAAAAAAAACAGAAACTAAATAAACAAAATGAAGGTATTGTGTCCATTTACAACTAAAAATATTTTTTAAAAAGACACTGTGTTTTTTAAAAAACTGCACATAACTAATATTGGAAACACGGAAACAGAAAAATGGCATTCTGCTCATGTGTCAATTTTATGGGTGATATTCTTCTATTTCTTTCTCATGGGTGTTATCATTTTACATTAAAAATTTAGCTTCTGGCATATATTTATAAAGAGTTTAATTTTCAGAAATTTTTTAAAAATATTCAATATCAGTGTCATTAACAACTTAATTTCTTATGAAATTAAGTAGAGTTAATGGTCACATTTTAAAAAGATAAATGAAGCATAACATTTTCAGTTAAGTAAATATCTTAGTATCTGATGAAATCAGAAAGGCTCATTCACAGAGAATACATGTGCTTTTTGGAATCACAATATTCCTTTCAAAGCACAGGCAAATGTGGCCAACCACCTGTCTGGTCAAGCTGAGAAGTATCTTCATTTATCTGGAAGAGAAACTGCTTAATTTAAATTGCAATTTTTACTTTTTTTTGAGAGAGAGAGAGAGAGAGAGAATTTTTTAATATTTATTTTTTTAGTTTTCGGTAGACACAATATCTTTATTTATTTTTTTTTTTAATTTTTATGTGGTGCTGAGGATCGAACCGAGCGCCCCGCACATTCCAGGTGAGCATGCTATTGCTTGAGCCACATCCCCAGCCCAATATTTAATTTTTTAAAAAAAAATTCACACAGTCCATTTTAATGTTTCAAACTGGCAGGACATCATGACAAATAAGCTATTAAAATTAAATCTTTATGTGTATGACCCTTAAACCAAGTATTTTAAAATAAATACATAATACTAAAATATAACAGAACAGAATTGTTCCTTAGTGAAGTACATTTACTTTTTATTATCATGTCTTCTATCTCTCTTACCTAGTCTATATCATTCAGATACTAGCTATTGTCTCTCTCCAAGGCCCTATTGTGTTGTTCAATGTCAGCACTGAAGGCAACTAAAAAGATTCACTTTCATCAATTCTACTAGTTAATGACATTTACCCAATAATTTGCTCTTGCAAGTGTACTAGCTGGATATAAATATCTCTTGGGGCACAGCAAAAGTAATTCAATCTGAGTAGGTACAAAATCACTTCCAAAGTGTTTGGGATGGTTTATTAGGAAATAAAATTGATTACCATTTGATACCTGATTAACTTGAAGTCATGTTAAAATTTTACATTAACATCAAATATCCAAACAGTGCTTGCCAAGGTTGCCTAAGTCTTATTGAAGACTATACAGTAAGCATTTCAAGGTTTTCTCTATCCAGAAGCAAAATCTCTTTCTTCCTTTCACTGTTAGGCAGCCCACAAGACAGACACTTGACTAAGGGAGCAGAAAGATGAACATAATAGCCACTCCTGCTGCTTTCAGTCTGATTACAACTCTCCATCTTGTATACATTTTCCAACAAGGAGCACACATACAGCAGTTTCAGAAATTAAGCATTTTTGAAAAAGCAAAAAACATTTATATTATTTTAATAAATGACTCACCCACAAATTAAAACAGTGAGAAGAGTGAGTCACTGTTTTAACTGACAAAGTGCCACCAGCTAATAAACCAAGTAGTGGTTTTCATTGTAATCATCTGACCAATAAATGTTACCCATAAAGATTAATAACTGAATTTAAATTAATTATATCTACCTGATCTTTAATAACTTTCTGCAATGGTACATGAATACAAAATACCTTTAATACAACAATACCTATTTCTAAAACTAATTCTGATTATTTCTCTTTTTTAAAGGAATATGAATGCTGTGTAAGAAATAATAACTTTTCCGCACGTAAATATATTACTACAACTTTTGTTGGGCACATAGTAAAATATCTGAATAAATAATAGACCCTTAAGAAATTTCTTTATTCTAAATACCCTATTCAAGTTTGAAAATCATCAGTCTTCCCATAATTCTAAAATCGGCTGTTTGAGTACACAGAAACTAGCATGCAGCCAGACAGTCCAACACAACATTTTAATGATCTACGTCAGTCACCCTCCATCTTTCTGTGAAGGACCCCTCCTGTAGGTAATTTTCCCTTCAGCTAAGATTTAAACCTATTTCTTCTTGCTTTGTCCTCAGTGTGAACTGAAAATAACTGGTCACTATCCTCTTTATAACAACATCTCAGAGTCAAGTATGCTTCTCTTTGGTCCTGATCTCTAAACTGAACCAAATAAATGCAGGTATTTCAACTTCTCCACATAGACACTATTCTTCAAATGTTTAATTTTTTTTTCACAGTGATTAGGACTCATTCAAAATTTCCATTGCAAAGGCTGCTGTCATCTACTGGGAAATAAGGCAAACTTCTTGGTTTTCCATATAAGACCCACTGTGAGAAGGTCTTCCTCTGTTTTTCTAACCTGCTTCCTGCTGCTTTCAGTCTGATTACAACTCCCTAAACACATACCACAGTTTCATACTACTGTGCTCTTGCACAGTTGCTTTGTCTAAATGTCCTCCCATCTCTCTCTCTCTCTGTTTTTTTTTTTTTTCTGTCAAGTAAATAACTTTACAGTTGAATACTACTCAAGTATCACCTCATTTCTGTAGACTTCGCTATCTTAGGAGTGACTTAGGACTTTTTAGATCATCTTCTCCTCTGTAAACATTTCAACATGGTAGTTTCTTGTACTCAATATGAGCTCTATCAAAGGGAGACACTCTGTTTATACAAACACACACACACACACACACACACACACACACACACACACAGTACCTAGGAGAATTCTAGAACCTACTAGGCAGTCAATAAATGTGTATGAAAGAAGTTTTTCTCCATATAAAATCCCTCGTGTGTAGTATAAAGTAATACTTCTAAATTTTACTCTTGTTTTTATGCCCCCACACACGTTGACTACAGAGGGAAGCTTCTCCAGGACACCGTATGTGCAAAGAGTTAGGTGGAAGTGAATTCTAGAATAAGTTATAATTTTTCCCACTGTGAGTTGGAGACTGTACTTAATACTAGAGATAAGAGGTAAATAATAAGGTATGGTACCTTTAAAGCTTCCAGTTCAGAATTTAGTGGAAATTATAAAATTATATAGAAAAGACATGGTATAAAAGTAATTTAGTGGCAAATTTCAAAGACTAGTAAAATTAAATATGATAACTAGGGGGTTAGAGTTGTGGCT